AAAATAAGAGTAATTAAATTAATTAATAATTACTCACATTCCACGCGTTCCTTTAAATTGCTACATCATGAATAAATTGTTAGTAACTTCAATAAAAATATAAAGTAAATGGAAACAATTAAATTAAATAAAAAGTAGAGTTGATTTGGTCCAAACCCTCAGTTAATTCTACCTTTCACGCCTTGGTTTAAGTATAGAACTTTGGGTTAATTATGAACTCCTTGGAGTGCTTAAGGGAAGAATGATGTAATTAGGAATATAGGTTTAAGGCTTAGAATATAGGAGAAAGAGTAGAATAATTTTTGGTGTAAAAGAGAGGAAGATAATGATTTGATCATGAAGCTTGTTGATGATTGAAAAAAGGGAGATATGACCTCTATTTATAGGGAAAAAAGAGGGGTCGAATCAAGAAAAGATAAGAATTCGAATCGGATAAAATCCTTGCAATAGACAACAGTTTTTGCGGTTTTTGTTTTTATCATATCTTTTGATCCAGAAATCGGAATAAGATGAATAAGATATCGTTGGAAAGCTCTTAAATTCTAATTTCTAACACAATTTGAATCAGATTAAAATATTTTATAAAATAAAATATATGGCCGAAATAGTGAGACGGTGTCAGTTTTGTATAGAGTTTGACATTTTATTCATATCTTTTCCGTTATAGCTCGGAATTGATATTATAATATATCATTGGAAAGATAATTTCAAGGGCTATACAACCATATAAAAATTGGATAAAAATTATGAAGCACGAAAATAATATCTGTCTATCTTTGAACATCTTTCAATTCGAATAAAATTAGGATTTTCAAAAAAAGGAGTTTTATTCAATTTCAAACTCTTTAATCTTATCTTTTCAAAAAGGATGATTAAGATCTTTTAGAAACTTTTATAAGCTTCCAATTAATCGTAATTGGTTTAGGAATGGTTTTAAATCATTTGGACCCTCCACATGATCATTGGGTCGTAGGTAAGGTGGGCTTAGGTTCGGTTTGGGCTCAGTTTAATATTTTGGCCATAACTTATTCGTTATAACTCGGATTTGGGCTTATAATATATCTTTGGAAAGCTCTTTTAAAGCCCCATCCAAATATTTAATCATTGGACCCATATTATGGACCAAAATAAACTGGATCAAACGTTTTTATAAAAAGGACACGAAATGAATTATTTTGGGTTTAAAGGCACGAAAAGAGGAAAATAAGTTATGGTTTGGGGAAATGGGCTAGGAATTGGGTTGGTTTATGAAATGGAAACATAGATTTAAGCACTCCAAAAATTAAATACTCAACCCGACCAATAATGGCGGTGAAAGGTTGTTCATCATCGGGTTTGGTTTTGGGGAGATATTTTTAGGTGTCTACATTAGTAGATTTCTTTGTTTTGATAAACTATGACATACAACTATAATGGCTGTTCGAATAGTCTCCGTATCTTTTGGGTCGATGCCCCATGTTCCATCTGGCAACCGCTTTTCATGAGCTAAAACCCACTCAAGAGCTCGACGATAAAAAATAGAACCAGTTGATGTACTGCTCTGGGAAGTGTTGCCAGTAGTTGAAGATTCTGCCAGAGCAGGAAATCTATTTTCAAGTCTCTTTTTCTTATTCCAAATTATCCGAGCTCTTTGAAAACTGTTTCAACCCAAGTGATGGCGACATTTGTTTAGCTTTGCATTTTCTTTCCCCTTTTCACTCTTTTCCTGTTTTTTTTTTTTTTTTTTTTTTTTTTTTTTTTTTTTTTAAAAAGAAAAGAAAAGAGAGTTAAACATTATCATATTCTTCACAATCAGTTTTTGTTTGATTAATTAACAGTGCATGTGAATATGTATTTACCTTGAATTCTGCTGATTTACTATATATTTCGAATCTCTTCCATTTCTCCTCTGTAAAGTAACCTTCATACACTTCCCATGGCTTCATATTTGCTTTAGGAGAAGTGGCCGGGTATGGGTTTTTAAAAGTGATGAATCGTGCCCTTAAATTCGACTTGTGACAGCTGAATCGCGAAGCCACAACACTATGAAACCTTTTTTTCCTTTCTCCACTTGGATCCTCAATGTGGAACATTCGCTGTGGATTAAAAAAAAAAGTTAACTAATATTTTGAATAGCAACATGACTAACTAGTAAGTGAATAGTTTATACCTTTGTCTCCTCCCATATATTTTCCCGATCCACTTTATCTATTTTTGCATACTCATTCACAGTGATGTCTAATCTCTTAGCACATGCACCAATTTGTTTTCCATAAGCGGGTTCCCATTCACCAGTAGGCAAGTCAAAATCATTAAATTCAAGCACCATAGGCTTACTTGATTGTATTGCCTTTGATGGCCCCCTACTCCTCTTCTTAGATGATGTGGCTTGCAAAGCAACATCTTGGCTTGAGGAAGTTTGCTCTTGACTTTGTTGAATGGCCATATATGCTCCTTGATCTAGAAGTGCCTGCATAAAACAAAAGACAGAAACTGATAGAATTAAATATCACATGAACAGAGCTATATTTTTACAGATTATAAAAGGTTTCTATCTACAAGTAAGTAACAAAGCAAGCAAATATAAATAATAAAAGCAACCTGCAGAGACATTATTTTTCAATTCCTGAAGTTATAATACCAATAAAAACAGTCAAGCTTGTGCCGCATATATAAGAACTATGTAAAATTCCATTTAATCTGTCAAAGCTCAAAAGACTAAAATCCAAGTGAAACTGGAGGTTTTATAGTCATCTAACATTATTGTCTAGCATTATAGTTACAAATTAATCGAAGAATTAAAAAGAACTACAGATTGATAAAAAATGAAGCCTAGGTATCAACATATTCTCCCTCCTCATGGGCATACTCTTCATCAGCGACAATGTCTTCCCCCTCTCTTAGGGGTTGAACCCCAATAGATAGAGGCGATGTATCATCAAATAGGTCATACTCTTCCTCATCGACAACATTTTCGACACCAACAATTCTTCTCTTGCCTTGAACAATAACCTGCCAGTTATGATCAATGTTATCCCTTATATAGAAAATTTGTTTTGCTTGTGAAGCTAAAACAAAGGGCTCCTCCCCATCAACAAATCGACTTGAATCCACTAAAGTAAAACCAAATAGTTCATCTATCTTTTTGCCTCGCCGGTTGTCAGCCCACCTGCATCGGGAAACTGGAACTATAAAATAAACATAATTCAGCTCCCATATCTCTTGAATGACCCCATAATATGACTGTGTTGCATTAATAGGCCTAGCATCCTTAGAGCTTGAGTATTCCGTAGAAGATGCGACAACCATGACACCACTATTTTGATGTACACTCTTATCATCTTGGCGACTAGTGTAGAAACAATACCCATTGATGTCATAGCCTTCATAAGTGTTCACAAACAATTGAGGACCCCGTGAAATCAAGCCATCTGATCGTATCAGATACATTATTATTCGGTTGCCCTAACTCACACTTCACTTGGTTTTGAAACCATTCAACAAAAGAATGATTATGTTTTTGCATCAAAGCATATTTACTTATTCTTGGATTCATTCTTTTTAAATAATTGAGATGAGTTTCTATATAAGGATGGACTTCTAAAAGGTTTTGAAGAACATAACGATGAGCTTTCTGGATTCTATCTGATGGAGGCTTCACAAACTGACGATCGATCATCCCTTGCCCTTGAAGTATGCCTTCGTGTCGAGATGTTGGAACTCCAATTTCTTTAGCCTTAGTTAAGAACACAGAACAAAATTTACTAGCCTCCTCTGCAATAATACCTCCAACAATAATACCTTCTGGATGTGCTTTGTTGGTCGCCTTTTCTTTCAAAGTTCCCATGTGTCTCTCATAAGGGTACATCCATCTCAAAAAAACCGGGCCACATTCCTTGATTTCTCGTACTAGATGGACAACCAAATGAACCATTATGTCAAAAAATGAAGGAGGAAAATACATCTCAAATTTGCATAATGTTTCTATAACATCAGTTTGCATTTCATCAAGTTTATCTGGGTCAATCACCTTGTTACATATGGCATTAAAAAATAGGCAAATTTTAATAATAGTGTTCCTAAGATGTTTTGGCAAAAGACCTCGAAGTGCAATAGGCAACATCACTTGCATCATGACATGGCAATCATGGGATTTCATACCAATTAATCTCTTATCGGCCATTGAAACTAGACGCTTAATGTTTGACGAATACCCTGTAGGTACTTTGATGCCGTACAAACACTCACAAAATATTTGTTTTCTCCTCTCTAGACAATGTGCAGCAAGCTCGAGGCAAAAATGTCTTTTTTGTTTCGTCATTTTCCACGGGACATAACTTTGGTCGAATATTTGCAAGCTTCATGTCTTTCCGGACATCTTTAGTATCCTTTGTCTTGTTAGGTATATTTAATAATGTCCCGATGATTGAATCGCATACATTTTTTTCAATATGCATAACATCAAGACAATGTCTAACAGACAAGTGTTTCCAATAAGGAAGAGTCCAAAATGTAGATACCTTTTTCCAAAGACCCGTAATAGAGGTAGGTTTACCTAACTTTCCCGAAAATTGTCTCAACATCTTTGATTCTCTCCCACAACTCTATATCACTAAGTGGCTCACGCAACCACTGTTTCTCTGGGAACCCATTGAATTCAGCTTTTTTCTTACGATAAGGGTGATCTCAACGAAGCAGTCGTCTAGTACGCATATAAACATCCTTTCCAAAATTCTTGAGGCGTGTTGGTTCCATTTTGCCCTCACAAATGGGGCATGGTTTTTTCCCTCAAGTTCTCATAAGCCGAGAAATCACTTACAGTGCAAAAAATCATGGCCCGTAAAGTAAAATTTGTACTTGTATGGGCATCAAACATTGGAACACCTTTATCCCATAATAGTCTCAAATCCTCCAAGAGAGGCTCCAAGTAGACATCTATGTCATTACCGGGTTGTTTGGGACCCGATATTAGAAGCGACAACATGATGTACTTACGTTTCATGCATAGCCAAGGAGGCAAGTTATAAATCGACAAAAGCACCGGCCATAAGGGTACCGTAAGGATTCATCCCGTCGGTACTTAATGCAAATCTCAGGTTCCTAACCTCTTTACCAAACTCTGGAAATGTATCATCAATATGTTTCCATTGCTTCGAATCAGCGGGATGCCTAATGTACCCATCTTTCTTCCTCTCTTGTGCATGCCACACCAAGTTTTTTGCATCCTTCTTGATAGAAAAAAGTCGTTTAAACCTCGGTATTATAGGCAGATACCATAACACCTTAGCTGGTGGCCACTTCTTGCGATTGGGGTTTGAACCCTTGCGCTTGTAGCGATCAATACCGCACTTTGGACAAGCATCAAGGTTTTCATACTCATTTTGAAAAGTACACAATCATTAGGAAATGCATCGATCTTCGTGTACTCGAGACCTAAGGGACACAATAGCTTCTTTGCATAGTAGGTAGACTTAGGAATGTCATTCCCTTCAGGAAGCATGTCTGATAAAGCTTCTAACAACGAATTGAAACTTTTATCAGTCCAACCGTTCTTTGCTTTCAAGTTAAATAATGTTAAAACCCCTGAAAGCTTAGAGTACTTTGCACATCCAGGATATAAAGGTGTCTCGGCGGCCTTTGACACATTTTCAAACATACGAGATTTTTCGTTCACATGATCACCAAAACCATCCATTATCTCAGGAATGCGATCCTCCTCAAAATTTTCATCGGTATCCTTTTCATTATCATCATGTTGTTCTCTATTCTCCATATCAGCATCATTGATTGATGACCTACTAGTTGTAGGAATTATTTTCTCACCGTGCCAATACCAAATGGTATAATTTGCCATGAACCCACGGCGAAATAAATGGTTTTCAACCACACTAATTTCCTTCCACTTCTTCACATTGTTGCAATCACGATAAGGGCAAAAGATTGTTTCCCCTTTAGTAGTCCTCTGGTGTTCAATAGCAGTTCTACAAAATTCCTCAATCCCGTTCAAGAACTCGGGTTGAGTTCGATTTTCAACATACATCCAATCACGATTCATTTCTTACTACAAATTATAGAAAAAGAAAGCATATAACTATTAGAACAAGTACATTAGAAACAAACAAAGACAATTACAATAGAACAACAACCAGAGATTATCAATCAACTCCCACAAGATAAAATACCTCAAAAAATAGTCAAACTCACAAGTATGAACAAAATGCAAGCACACTTCATATATGCCTACCAGGCTACCACTAATTCATTTTCTCTCTAGAATTATAGTTCGGTTAAATAAATACAACCAATTGGAATAACCGAATAAAATTGGTGTGTTTACTCATTTTCAGCTCTGAATTTCAACTCTGATCATTTTAGTTCTGATTCTCAGTTCAGAATTTTAGCTCTGAAATCAGTTCAGAATTTCAGCTCTGAAACCAGTTCTGAATTTCAACTCTGAAATCAGTTCTGAATTTCAGCTCTGATATCAGTTCTGAATTTCAATTCCTTAAGATGAATGAGGTATATAACAGATGCTAAGAATGGAAAACAGTGCATGCCGGCAGGGTATATTCCATAATATGTCCAAATATCCATTCACCACAATAAAGGCACACGTAATTCGTTTACATTTCAGGTAGTGCAGGCATCTAGTAGCAACTTAGTCTAATGCATAAGTACAGCACAACTGACAAAAACTGATGCAAAGTCATCCAAGAAAACCCATGAAATAGTCTCAGTTGTGTCCTAGATCCTATGTACTTTGATTATGAAGCTTGGTAATTATAAGTTGTTTCTTAATTACAAATCATCATGGTTTTAGCCTCAACGAAATCTTAATATTATCAACCTAATTCTACAATGTTGACCTGTCAAGCCGGAAATCTCCAACCTTGCTCCCTCTCCTTATGGTTTTAGACAGGAAAAACAGACATTAATAAACACACACAAGTTAAGAGCATATATTTCTTCTCAGAATCATTATTAGGCACTAAAGTGCAGGAGTACAACCATAAGGATATAACATCCAACACGACAAACAACAAATTTCGATCTAAACCCTACAGAAATTTCACTCAGAAATGCCAAATCCAAACCTATGGACGTTTAATTAAATTGAAGGACAATGGACGTACTCTAACAACTTAATTAACACATTTTCAAATTGATTGGCTACTGTTTAATAAATAGATTACAAACCAATGAATCAGGTCAGTAAGTTCAAGTAGTAAGATTAAATCAGATGATGATCAATCATCAAAAGTTCGAAATGATCATTAATTCGTAATAACGATGAAAAAGATGTCATCAATCCAGTCTGAAAACACCAGAAATTGATCAAATTACAACCCTAACATCAATCAAATGAGCAGCCTAATTCTTCAATTAGGTCAAAATAATCTTAAAACATATCAAAAATTGAGAATTCACACTATTTTCTTACATAATGAAAGCGCTGAATTCTTCCTAAGTCTATAGGGTTGTAGGCTTTTATAGTCAAGCATAACAAATTACACCAAAATCAGCATATATTAGCAGTCTTAACATCACATGGTCATGAACAAATTCTGGAACAATCAGTAGTACAGGGCACAAACAGAGCACAAGCAGAACAGCCACATGACAGCAGCAACAAGACAAAAAATGACCACTAAGAATTGTGGGAGGAAGTCTGAAATTCAGTGAAGCTACATAGGCAGTAGATGACAAAACTAGTGATTGTATTAGGGTATTTGGTAAGAGGAATGCTTGGTATAAAAGGAGAGAGTAGGGTATGAGAATGTTATGCCGATTTTGATGTTATCATAGAGTATTAAGTAGTAGTTGTAGTAGTAGAGTAGTGCAAGATTCAATCTTTAAATTAGCAATCTTTATCTAGCTTAACTTGTAGCCTCCATTACAATATTAATCAAAAGAAAGTCCAAGCTTTTCTCTCTACTTTGTGAGTTACTATTACATTGAGTATCTTGAGCTTCGAGTCTACAGCATAGAGCTTTGGTTTCTCTTGGGTTCCTAAGTCATGAATGCAGGTGCGACCAACCAGTGGTTGCAAATTCAGTTTTGAAAGTCAGTTCTGAAAGCCAGCTCTGATTTTTAGCTCTGAATTCAGTTCGGAAAGTCAGTTCTGAATTCAATTCTGATTTTTCAGTTTTGAATTCAGTTCTGATTTTCAGTTCTGATTATGGTCTGTAATGAGCAATAAGCACATCCCCACCCCTAGCACAACTTTTTCAGGAATAATTTGTCAGAGGCGGTATTTTAAAAAAAATGGCAAGAATGGTAATCAGCAAAGCATTATATGAACTCCAAAGTCCAAACAAACAACTACATATTTGAGAGCAACCCTTCTACATGGTTCCTGAGCAACCCTCCACATTTCCCTAGAGCAACTATAGATTGCAATAACACAAAATGATATCTAAAACATTTCTATCTCATCTTTTAATTTCCAAATAGTGAACGTCTCATTAAACCATATCAACTTTGATATCTTAAGGCAATATACAAGGGCAGGCATCAGGGTATATGCCCAATTACAAAGCCAGGAATCGATAACTAAAATTGCATCATCAAGGCCTATCCTCCCTTGCAAAGCTCAGCTAACTTAAAAGTTCACTTTGAAACTTTCCATAAACTGTGAAGTAGTCTAGCCAGAGGCAGACAAGCAGCAAGAAATTTATTGTATCTGGACTTCATAAAATTGGAAATCAAAATATATTACCCATCTAAAATAGATGGGGCAGCATCAACAAACATAAAAAAGAATCTCCACATCTATTAGACCAACAAACATAAGAAAGAATCTCCACAATCTTGGCCTTTATATTCTGTCAAGAACGAACAACAAAGCAAAAGGATGAAATTCATCCACTTGATACACACATTAGCATGACTATTAGACCAAGATAAGTAACAAGAAACTACAATTACAACACACCAACAACCACAACAACCTATGCATCTTAAACTGGTCTATGCATCTTAAACTAATCGGCTTAAAGGGACTTGAAATATAATTCATATTAGGCTGGCCTCTTTCTCTATTACTTATAACCGACATAGAAAAGGGGTAAAGTTGTTGTTACTTGTTGTAGTAGAATAGTTTATACTGGGCTACTGGCAGCAGCCAATTTTAAAGCTTGGCAGCAACTAAATACCATGCTAGTATAAAAATGTGCTTTCAAAAGACAATTTTTAATAGACCATTACTAAACGATTTAGACTATGATACTAGCCTTTTTGTTTGATATGAATGAACTAAAACTCAACCCCTCTAGAACTTCTACATGTAAACTTGATACCTCAATTTTGCTATACCGTTGTGATTTTAACCATTGTAAAATCATACTTACCCCTACTACTCTTCAGCTCATTGATAAAACTGAGGATTCTCACATAACTCAACGGCTCAACCTGATTGTAAGATTCATACAAACAATTAAATCAAACAAACCAACCAAAAAGCCTAAGATCATAATCTAAACGAAGCATAATGCATAATTTTCATGGAATCCATATAAACTTCTTAAGAGTTCTATAACTAAAATCGCTTAAAACTTAATTTAAGTGTACCACCACATGCATATATGACTTCAAATAAGAATCAAATTTCCCATCCTAATCCTTTATTTCTTGACAATAATAGCGTTCAACACAACAACAACCACAGCAGCGTTCAACATAGATGCAATAATAATAAAAACAACAGCATTCTCAATGTAACGGTAATCTCAATTAACTTGCACACACAAATTTACACACGCTTCAAAGAGAAAAACAGAAGCCTGACATACTCGGCTAGTGTACACCAATGAGAACCTTTATCTATTAAACAGCAGCCTGACATACTCGGCTAGTGTACCCCAATTAGACATGCATGTACCCCAATTACACAAAGCAGTTCACAAACAATAATCGTTTCTTAATTTTTTTTGTTCGGAATTATTCATCAAAACCTAATTTCCTTCGTTTTTTAATAATCTAATTCCATTAAAAATTAATCAAGTAATTGAAAACAACAACAATCAATTCGAATTTACATGTAAAAACACTAATTCGAAAGTAAAATAACCCTAATTCAAAAGGAACACATACCTCAAAACTTTGATAAAAATCCCCTAAAGCTGATCCCAAATTCGAACAAACCAAAACAACAATTAATGGAGTGAGATGCAGCGACAGAGAAGGAAGAGAGGTGAAGGAGAATGAGGAGCAGTGAAGGGGTGAAGGAGGAGCAGTACGTGAAGGGGGAGCGAAACTACAGTAGTGTTAGTTTTTTTTATTTTTGCGAATTCTGAGTATGTAATAGCTACCTTTATTTTTTTATTTTTTTTTTACCTTTAATCAAAATTTAAATGAAAATTACTTTTCAAAAAAAAAAATTTAATGAAAAATAAATAAAATTAAGAGAAAGTATAAAACTAGAAACTTTCCTTCAAAAAAAAAAAAAAAAAAATAAACTAGAAACTTAATATTTGTTGGTTTAAAAAAAACAAAAATTATTGTTAGACTTATTATTTATAACCAGCGTTTGTAAGCTAGTTACAAAATTTTTACCTTGACTTATTATTTGTAACTGGCGTTTGTAAGCTAGTTACAAATGTTTTGGTCAACTTTTCTTTGACTTGTTATTTGTAACTGGCGTTTCTAAGCTAGTTAAAAATGTTTTGGTCAACTTTTTTGACTTAATATTTGTAGCTGGCGTTTATAAGCTAGTTACAATTACAAACGCTTTGGTCAAACTTTCTTTGACTAAGTATTTGTAACTGGCGTTTGTAAGCTAGTTACAAGTTTTTTAGTTAATTTTTTTGTGACTGAACATTTGTAACTGACATTTATTTAGTCAGTTACTAATAAAACTTCAAATAAAGATACACCACATATTAGTAACTGACATTTACTACGTTGGTTACTAATGTCATGGAATTTGTAACTGGCATTATCTTAGTCGGTTACTACTGATGCTTCTGTAACTAGCATAATATACGCCAGTTACTAATAGGGCATTACAAATAGCATTTTTTCTACTAGTGGACCTTGGCTATGAAGGTTCGTGGG